TTATTATTAGTATTACATTGGACCAACCCAATTTGGTAGACACAAAATTTGTTAAAGGAAAAACTCGGTTGAAACATAAGGGTAGCACGCTTATTTACATCGACTTTAACATTATATACCTGCATTTGTTTTATGCGCTCACTTGGTACCGCGAATGTGGAATAGACATGTTTATAATCAACCAATTGTGAATTTCACCGTCAAGAATTAAAATAAAACCCAATGTTTTATATAATAAGCGGAAGTCGAAGCAATAAAACCGATGGTCGTTTTGTTTACAGTTTCTCTGTTTGACTCTCACGTATGCTGTTACGCTTGTCATCTTAAATTAAGAATGTTTATACATAAACGATTTTCAGTTGCCTCTCATATTACTAGACAACGGATTTCTGTAGGGCTACGTCACGATTATAGGTGGGGACGCGCTGGATCGCCGGGACTCAGTAGCGGGTGATAGATAATCACTGAATTTAATCAGTACTAATTCCATAAATATAATTAACGATTTATTAATCAAACGGCTAAGTAAATGAGAACGGGAATTAACAGCAGAGTGCAACGAAACAGCGTTATTCTAATCTCAAATAAACGAAGTGAAGTCCGCAACCGCAATGAATTCGCATCCCGTACGAGCCGTACCGAGTTTGGCCTTGCCTAGCCCGACAGAAATCCGCTCTCTAGATATTACACACCGGCGCCGTATACGTGAGTAAATTGTTTCGTTATTTTATTGATTATAACAAATCAATATTCAAAACGAGCCAATTCATTTTCCCGAAAATTTGGGAATACAATAATTTTATTCTTAGTATTACACTACATCTATCCCAACTGATATACGTGTCCTTGCAAAAATGTTGATGACGTCATCGCAATTTTTTTTTAAATTCCCACTACAAAAATGTAATGAGAAAAAAAAACACAATAGGCATGCAGTCGTCAAGTTTCCGACAGCGAGGGAAGTACTGTCTAAACTCTTTAGACCAATTTTTTCCGAATGTGTGGACTGTATTATTAAATCTCTTTTTATATGTGACTTTCACTTCACATCATTGCGTCTATTAATACTTATTATGCCTATTTCACCAGTCATCAGTCTTCAGTTCATCACACTTTAAGATTGAAATATGAAAATACGTAGATATTTTTTCTACGCAGTAAAAATAAATACATTCTGTTGTGTTCCTTCAAGCCATTTGCAAGCAATAGGGGCAATAACAACTCCTAAATCCTTTAATGAGGGTAGTATAGTTTCCTCAAACCTATAAGGCGTTTATGGCTTTGGCGTTTAAAGTAGTTTACAGCCGACCCTTCATAAAGCTTAGTAAATGTAAACCATGCCACGTGCCAGGGACAGCCGAGACGCGAAGGACCGGACTAAGAGTAATTTTGTTTTTAACGTTTCTTCCGTACCTTAATTATTTAATCATTATTCTGCACATTTGAAAATATTATTAAGATAATGAAAGCAAAAAACATAAAATCTTTAATAAGTACGATCGCAATCGTAGAAAACTGGTCCACTAAGTTTTTTGATAAATCAAATAATCTTGACGATGTCACGGTCCTTTGTTTCAAATCCAGAGGGTACATTCATATTGCTGTTATATTAAAAATGATACATAACTAGAGAGCGAAAAGTATGCAGCAAAATTTTGAGAAATATGATCATGTACTATGCATGAAATTTATGCAAATATGCTGTAGCTTTATTAATATATGCAGTTGCATATCCTCCAAAAATTGAAAAGAAGTGTAATAACACAACTAAATTTATTTACAAAATATAAAAACAGGTTTATCAAGTTTAATTAAAAAAAAAAAAAAATACATAGATAAATAAAATTTTAAAAAATTATTGTCTTACACTAAATAGTGACAAATAAATAAAAATTAATAATGATAGGCCATTTAATTAGTATTTTTGTAGCAATTTATTTTTAAATACTTTTCGAAATATTGTAGCAAAAAATTTTGCCGATGATCCGAAAACATATATTTGTAAATAGAAATGCGGTTTGTAGCAGAAGCTACAAAACACAGTGCCTTCTTGAAGAATAAATTCAGGAAAAGACCAGTACAGGGCACGGTTGATAAAACCGTTAATTGTTAATTTAGAAGAGTCGAGTGATGATGACAGTGAATATTTCGATCAATAAATAAGCAGTAGTAGTTAATAAGTAAATAGTTGTGTATGTCAAAATTCTAACTAATTTGCCGTAATAAAAAATGAATGAGTACAAAGTTACTTTGTTTTTACTTAAAATGAAAAATCGAAAGGCGCAGTTGTCGGTAAATGCAAAACTCAGTCCTACCCTGTGCTTTTACCAGAAAAGGTCTTTGCAGGTAGGTATCGGTGAGAGGGTTTAAGACATCCGGTTGTGACGGCCTATTGAATTCTAATGGGAGTCAAATTGGTGTGAAGTCATAAACGCCTTATATGTTTGAGTCCAGTCTACTAAGCACTATGCCGCCTGCTGGGCCATCATAAATCACTTGCAAGGTTTGGCCGATGCGTTTAAAAGTGTTAAGAGTGTATAACAAGTTGCCTAAATGATAGATTTTATTAATTGAGTTAATTAATAAACCATTAATTTTTCCGCAAAAAACGTCGCGGTGCGCCTGTTAACATGCAGCTCTGTGTAAGATGAGCTAACGCTGATCCGTATAATGTAACTGAGGACCTAGATAAGTCACTTCTTTGCTTTCATTATTTTAATTAATTTGGAGCAAATTATTGCCTTTTTTAAAAAATTCTTCGCGGTCCGCATTAGAATATTATATTTTCTACTAATTGCCACCTCAAACTGGTCTTCAAGTTTAATAATAAGCTTAAAAAACGAATCGGTAAAATGTCCGTTTACGCCCGTATTCGGATACCCTCCGACGGACCCTTAAGGCTCCTCCTTACAGTCATTAAAATCTGCCGAAATACGGCAAAACGCCACTTCCAATATTATCTTTACTATAGCACTTGAAGACTTGTGCGACATATCTACTTGTTCGTAATATGAAAATTTTCATGGAAATAGTTTTTATATTGCATTAAAGGCTTTCGTTTTTTTAATAAAAAATAAAAACAGAAAAACTTATTTTTCTTTTTGAGCCAAAGCTATAACGTATTTTGGCTTAAAAAAATCTGACAGTGTAGATAATATTATTGCTCACCTGGGACTAATAATTATTTTTTCGTTAAACTATCCATTTTTTAGTTATTGTTGATTAAAGCAAGACCTAAAAAGGGCATTTTTTGTAAATGTAGGCAACCAAACATCTTCTTTCGTCAAGAACGAGCCAAGAAAGTGTACGATTTACGATAGGGGTTAGCCACTATTGAGAGATTAGACAGATTTAAAACCCTTGTTGAGAAAGTATGCAAATGAGGTGACCGTAGTGTGTTCTACATGAAGGTTGTGGAATCGTACAATTATGTAGGAGTATTATATTAATTCAATTTCAGAATAACAAATAAATAACCGAGTTTGGATTTTTTACAAAACTGCCTAACTTGTTTCAACAGCTATAATTACTGCTGATCCCAAATGTGAGATAACTTAAACAAATTTTAAAATTATCAATCACTGAAAAAGAAAAGAATTGTTGAATTAATTACATATCTTTATACATATTATAGCCTCTTCTAAATTTAAAAAAGTATATACATTTTTTTGACTGAGATAGAATATAATAAATATAATGATATAAAAATAAATAATGGTCTGTAAATTATAAATCTTTTTTTTATTATAGGACGAAGTTGCTGATTTGCTAAATAACTATTTAATCTTCATAATTTGCTTTGGATAAGTTTATTCTATTGATTCATGATGATTTTGAAATTTGTCTCACTTGGGATCAGCAGTAATTATAGCTGTTGAAGCAGGTTAGGCAGTTTTGTAAAAAATCCAAACTGGGTTATTTATTTGTTATTCTGAAACTGGATTAATATAATACTCCTACATAGTTGTACGATTCCACAACCTTCAGGTACGGTCACCTCATTTGCATACTTTCTCAACAATGAATAGTTTAACGAAAAAATAATTATTAGTCCGAGGTGAGCAATAATATTATCTACACTGTCAAATTTTTTTAAGCGAAAATACGTTATAGCTTTGGCTCAAAAAGAAAAATACGTTTTTCTGTTTTTATTTTTTATTAAAAAAACGAAAGCCTTTCATGCAATATAAAAACTATTTCCATGAAGATTTTTGTATCACGAACAAGTAGATATGTCGCACAAGTCTTCAAGTGCTATAATAAGGATGATATTGGAAGTGGCGTTTTCCCGTATTTCGGCAGATTTTAATGACTGTAGGGAGGAGCCTTAAGTGGGCGGGCTTACAGTTTGGTTTTTTGTTTTAATATGTGTAGACTTCTTTTAACAACATGAAATTTAAAACACGTTTAAAATGGAAAATTTGTATAAGGGAACATTAGGCTCCACCCCATTTTGACCATGTTTTAAGTTTCTTGTTGCGAAAAGATGGCTATGTATATTTAGAAAAAAAAAGCAAAATATACATATGTAAATGGACATGATGCAATGTTAATAATATTTTAATAATGGATTATACGTAATATTATCCTTTGTAGATGGACATTATTTTTTTGTTAATAGATATTACGTAATATTATTCAATTGTAAATAATTATTACGAAATATTATTTTTGTAGATGGATATTACGCAATATTATTATTTTTTAATAAATGGATATTACGTAATTTTTGATAAATATAAATTACATATTTTTTTGTAAATGAACATTACACCTATTAATTTTTGTAAATGGAGATTACGTAATATAAATTTTCAATTCTCGATGTGAACCCGTACAAACGCATGCTGTGTGTATATTTTATGTGAGTTTTTAATAACAAAATTTTGTGATGATTTCTAATAGTATTTGTACTTAACTAAAACAACATATGTATTAAATCAACGTCAATCATCCTCCTGAATTAGATTATTGGAGTCAATCTTCAACATAGTAAGTGCCTACATGCCATCAAAAGCTTTACTCGCAATTTTGACAATTTTGTTGTCGTTTAGATTCAAGTAAGTGAGCTTGGTATTGTTGAAAACACCGTCTGGGATTTCTTTCAACTCGTTTTGAGCAAGCCTGAGCTCACTCAACTCTGGTAAGTTTATCAAATCACCAGGTCGCAGAAGCTTGATTGAATTATCATCCAAATCAAGTGATATTAATTTCTGCATGTCAAAAACATCTGGATCGATTTCTTCCAATTCGTTCTTCGACAGATCCAACCTTGTCAGTCCAATTGGAGACAGAGCTTTTGGTGCAATGGTGTGAAGAAAATTGCCGTTCAAACTCAAGATTCCAAGCGTGACATTTTTGAAAACACCACTTGGAAGTTCAGTGAGTTTGTTGTTGTCGAGTATCACGATGTCAGCGTTGAAATTCTTGAAAGCTCCTGGTTGTAGAAGGATGATTGAGTTGAATGACAAGTCTAGGTAAGATAGGTTTGGATCGGCAAAAGTATCACTTTTAATTTCTGTTAATTTATTTCCGCTTAGACTAAGCCATTTTAAATGTGGCAAATTTTCAAAAGCTCCTGGTTTGATTTGTTTCAAACCCACGTCATTGAGGTTCAGAGCGATCAAATTGGGTACTTCGAAAACCGATTTTTCGTACAAGATGGGAATGCTACCGTGGATGGTCACAGACACTGGTTCCTCGTCAGGGATTATTTTCTTAACATTGTCAAATGAAGCTACCGTTTCTTGTTCTATTGTTTCTAGTTCGTGATAAAAATACCACTGAACTGTCACATTAACGAAAGTAATTTTTTCACGGTCACTAACTTTAAAACGAAAAATGCAGACTAGCAGGTTTAGTAGTAAAGAACGCATCTTGATTACTCAAGTTGTTTACCTTAAACGTGATATTTATACGTAAATAGGTAGGTAATATTAACGTAAGAGGAATGACCGAAGTATTGCACTGGTTTTTCCAACAGTTTCATTAAAACTAAGTTCGTCACATGGATGACACACATTAATTTCTTGGATATTTTTATTAAATTACCTTCATGATAACGTTAATTGCATGTGTATTTAACCAAAAACTACATATAAACAATGTTACAAATTTATAATCGATTAATCATCATGTTTACTAATTATCTACAAAATCTTCAATCTTCTTAACACACTCTTCATTCCAAGGATTATCTAGCAATTTTGGATATTTAACATTTCTGAAAATTGTCTTCAAATTTCCTTCAACACACTCTAACTTATTTCCAGTGAGATCCAAAGTCCCAATACTAACATTACCCAACAAATCTGGACTCCAATTATCAATCTCATTAAAGGACAAATCTAAATAACCAACATATTCTAACTTATCAAATGCTTTAGCTGAAATCTTCCTAATTTTATTCCTCTGAAGACGAATACCTCTCACACGAGGATAATTCTTGAACGCTTGGTCTGGAATCTCAATTATCAAATTATCATTGACAAAAATTTGATCAACTGATTTTGCCCCACTCAGCCAATTATTATCCCATTGAGTTACACTATTGGAGTTAATGTTCAACAGATGGAGCTCTGGCATGTTGTCAAAAGCATTACTCGCAATTTTGGCAATCTTGTTTGAGGCTAGTTCCAAACGACTGAGTTTCATATTGTTGAAAACACCTTCTAGAACTTCTTTCAACTCGTTTTCCACAAGATTTAGTTCCTTCAATTGTGGTAAGTTCCTCAAATCACCAGGTCGCAGAAGTTTGATTGAGTTAGCACCCAAATAGAGTGATGTTAACTGTTGCATGTCAAAACTTTCCGGATCGATTTTTTCAAATTTATTATCGTACAAAGTCAATAAGCTCAACGCAATTGTCGACAGTGCTTTTGGTGCGATGGTATGAAGATAATTATGAGCCAAAATTAACGTTCCAAGAGTAACATCTTCAAAAAGACCATTTGGAATTTCAGTGAGTTTGTTATGATTAAGTATCACGATAACAGCGTTGAAATTTTTGAAGGCTCCTGGTTGTAGAAAGGTGATTGAGTTCAATGACAAATCTAAATAAACTATATTTAGATCGACAAAAGTTCCAGTTTTAATTTCTGTCAAATTATTTCCGCGTAGACTAACCCCTTTGAAAAGTGGTAAATTTCCAAAGGCACCGGGTTTGATTTCTTCCAAACCTACGTCGTGGAGGTCCAGACTGTGCAAATTTGGTATACCGAAAACTGATTTTTCGTACAAGATGGGAACGCTACCATGGATAGTCACAGACACTTCTCCTTCATCAGGGATTATTTTCCTAAGAGTGTCGGAAGTTGCTACCTTTTCTTCTATTTTGTTTTTGCCATGATGGCGCCACTGAACTGTCACATTTTCGAAAGAAATTTTTTCACTCTTACTAACTTTAAGAAGAAAAATACAGACTAGTAGGTTTACTAGTGAATAACGCATGTTGATGACTGAACTTGTTTACGTTAAACATCATTTATAAATGAATAGAAATGTAATGTTGATGTAGCTACTTACACTGAAGTGTTGTATTGGTTTTTCCAACAAGTTTGATTAAATTTAGTCTGATTACATGTGACACATACGTGTAAAAATGCATTTTCATTTAATTAATATTTAAATGAAGGAAAAGTTGCGTGGTAGTTCAATCAATCACTCATGTGACCTTCTCTACTGTTTAGAAACATGAAGTCCTCCAGATTATTTTTAATCACTTCAAGAACAAGAGGAGGGTGCTCGAAATTTTTTCAAACTACTTCAAAATCAAAACATATGAGGTCTCTGAGATTCTTTCAAACTACTTCAAAAACAAAACCAAAATTGTAACGGAAATTTTTTCAAACCACTTCCAAAACTTCATATAAAGAGTTCCTCGAGATTCTTTCGAACTACTTTAGAATCAGAACCAAAACAAAAAAGGTCCCCCAGATTCTTTCAAATTACTTCAAAAACTAGTTACAAGAGGTCCTAAGAGAGGCAAGGGATCCAAGATTCTTTCAAACTACTTGAAAAACTAGGCACAAAAGGTTTCCGAGATTCTTTTAAACTACTTCAAAAAAATAAACAAAACTGGTTCCAATTAATCTTTCCAACTAATTCAAAATCAAAACAAATGTCCCCTTGATTCTTTTAAACTAATTTAAAAACAAAACTCAAAAATCCCAGTCCTTAGAATCCTAGACATTTTTTCAAATTATGTAATTCAAAAAAGAAGTCAAAAAAGTCACTAAAATTCTTTCAAATTACTTCACAAATGAGACAAGAGATCCCCAAGACTCTTTCAAACTACCTCAGAATTAAACCAGAAAAGATCCCCCAGATTCTTTCACATTACTTCAAAAACCAGTTACAAGAGCTCCTAAAACAGACAAGGGATCCAAGATTTTTTCAAACTACTTCAAAAACTAGGCACAAAACTTTTCCGAGATTCTTTTAAACTACTTCAAAAAAATAAACAAAACTGGTTCCAAATAATCTTTCCAATTAAGTCAAAATCGAAACAAATGAAGTCCCCTAGATTCTTTTAAACTACTTCAAACAGTAAACAAAAGAATCCCAGAAATTCTTTCAAATTACGTAGTTCAAAAAGGAGCCAAAAGAATCCCTAAAATTCTTTCAAATTACTTCACAAACAAGTTACAAAAGGTCCTAAAAAAGACAAGGGATCCAAGATTCTTAGTAGTTTAAAAAGAAACAAGAAATTTCCCCAGAATTCTTTCAAACTACTTAAAAAACAAAATACAAGGAGCTCCCGAAATTCTTTCAAACTACGAAGTTCAAAAAAGAAACTAAAGAGTTCCCCAAAATTCTTTCCAACTACTTCAACAGGAAAACACAGGGGATTCCCGAGATTTTTTCCAACTACTTAAAACAAAAATGGTCTCCCAAATTCTTTCAAACTACTTCAAAAAGTAGGCACAGAAGTCAAAAAAGTCCCTAAAATTCTTTCAAATTACTTCACAAACAAGACGAGGGATCCCCAAGACTCCTTCAAACTCCTTCAGAATCAAACCACAAAAGGTCCCCCAGATTCTTTCAAATTTCTTCAAAAATCAGTTATAAGAAGTCCTAAAAAAACAACGGATCCAAGATTCTTTTAAGCTACTTTAAGATCAGAACAAAAAGGTTCTCCGAACCCTTTCAAACTATGTAGTTGAAAAAAAAAACAAGAGATTTTCCCGAAATTCTTTCAAACTATGTACATACTAAAAAAACAACGGATCCAAGATTCTTTTAAGCTACTTTAAAATCAGAACAAAAAGGTTCTCCGAACCCTATCAAACTATGTAGTTTAAAAAAAAAAACAAGAGATTTTCCCGAAATTCTTTCAAACTATGTACATACTAAAGAAACAAAATGCAAGAGGTTCCCGAGATTCTTTCAAATTACGTCAAAACTAAGCACAAGAAGTCTACGAGATTTCTTCAAACAACGAAGTTCACAAAAGAAATAAAAGATTTCCCCAAAATTCTTTCAAACTACTTCAGTAGCAAAACACAAAGGGTTCCCGAGATTCTATCCAACTACTTGAAACAAAAATGGTCTCCCAAATTCTTTCAAACTACTTCAAAAACTAGACACAAAAGGATTTCGAGATTCTTTTAAACTAGTTCAAAAAAATAAACAAAACTGGTTCCAAATAATCTTTCCAACGATTTCAAAATCAAAACAAATGGAGTCCCCTGGATTCTTTTAAACTACTTCAAAAACCAAACATAAAAATCCCAGTCCTTCGAATCCCAGACATTCTTTCAAATTATGTAATTTAAAAAAGAAGTCAAAAAGTCCCTAAAATTCTTTTAAATTACTTTAAAAATAAGACAAGGGATCCCTAAAATTCTTTCAAACAACTTCACAATCAAATCAAAAAAGGTCCCCCAGGTTCTTTCAAATTACTTCAAAAATCAGTTACAAGAGGTGCTAAAAAAGATAAGGGACCCAAGATTTTTTCAAACTACTTCAAAATCCGAACAAAAAGGTTCCCCGAGTCACTTTCAAAAAAGGAACAGAAGATTTGCCCAAATATTTTCAGACTACTTCAAAATAAAAACAAAAATGGTGCAAAAGATTCTTTCAAACTACTTCAAAATATTTTTCCAACTATTTCAAAATCAAAACAAATGGGGTCCGCTAGATTCTTTCCTCCAAAAAATTGATTACGTCAGCAGAAAATTTTGAGAAAGTTTATTAAAATGTATCTCTTTATCAATCCCAAAAAATTGATTACGTCATCTCATATTTTCATATTTGTAAGACTTTCGTTTTGACATTTTTTCACATTCATACTATTATATATTTTCATCAACAAGTCAAAACAGATGAGAAAAACAACAATTCTTCTAGATGCATGTATATTAAAATAATGTTATTTATTTAGAAGATTAGAATCCAGTTTAATCATCCTCCTCCAGTATATACTGTTTACTGTTGTTTACAAATTCCTCAATCTTCTTAACACAATCTTCATTCCAAGGATTTTCTCGCAAAATTGTATACTCAACATTTCTGAAAATTGTCTTCAAATCTCCTTCAACACACTGTAACTTATTTCCAGTGAGATCCAACCTGCCAATACTAACATTACTCAACAAATCTGGACTCCAATTATCAATCTCGTTATAAGTCAAATCTAAATGATCCACGTAATCTAAATTATCAAAGGCTTTAACTGAAATGTTCCTAATGTAACTTCCATGAAGATCAATTGTCATCATACGAGGGTAATTTTTGAATGCTTCGTCTGGTATCTCCGCTATCTGATTTTCACTGACCGAAATTTGAACCAATGATTTCGCCCCTTTCAGCCAATTATTGTCCCATTCGGTTATATAATTGGAGTTAATGGATAACATTTCAAGCGCTGGCATGTCATCAAAAGCTTCACTCGCGATTTTAGCAATTTTGTTTGAATTTAGATTCAAAACAGTGAGTTTGGTATTATTGAAAATCCCTTCTGGAATTTCTTCCAAATCGTTTCCCGCAAGCCCGAGTTCCTTCAATTCTGGCAAATTTCTCAAATCACCAGGTCGCAGAAGCTTGACTAAGTTGCCACTAAAAAAGAGTGCTACTAATTGTTGCATGTCAAAACTTTCCGGATTGATTTCGTCGAACATATTATTGCTCAAAGTCAATCTGTTCAACGCAATTGTAGACAGTGCTTTTGGCGCGATGGTGTGCAGAAGATTGTCAGCCAGAATTAAGGTTCGAATCGTGACATTTTCAAAAACACCACTTGGAAATTCAGTGAGGTTGTTGTTAGCAAGTATCAGGAGATTGGCGTTGAAATTTTTGAAAGCTCCCGGGTGTAGAACGATGATCGAGTTGAATGACAAATCCAAATAAATTATCTTTTGGTCGGAAAAAGTGTTAGTTTTAATCTCAGTTAAATTATTTTTACGTAGACTAAGCCATTTTAAGTGTGGTAAATTTCCAAAAGCTCCTGGTTTGATTTCTTGCAAACTCACGTCATAGAGGTCTAGACTGTCCAAATTTGGTATATCGAAAACCGATTTTTCGTACAAGATGGGAATGCTTCCAGTGATTTCCACCGACACTCGTTCGTCATCAGGAATTATTTTCTTCAGACTGTCAGATGTTGCTACCGTTTCTCCTTTTTTGTAATTATGACGCCACCGAACTGTCACATTTTTGAAAGTAAGTTTTTCACTTTTACTGAGATTAAGAAGACAAATACAGAGTAATAGGTTTACTAGCGAGGAACGCATCTTGATTACTGAAGTTGTTCACCTTGAACGGCATTCTTATAAGGAATAGAAAGGTCACGTTGATGTAAGCTGAGTACTGGTTTTTCCAACGCGGTGGATTAAAATTAAGTCGATCACACCTGACCTTCACGACTGTTTTGAAAACTACAAAACTGGAAGGAATTTTTGCTGTATTTTTTTTTTAAACCAAACATTTATTATCCTAATACACACAATAAAACAAAAATTCTATGTATCTATTAAACCAAATCAACCCACAACGGTCTATAGATCTAAAACGATCGTAGTAACTTTATCCCAGGAACGCATTCTTGTTCTCTAGAAACTCCTCAATCTTCTTAGTACACTCTTCATTCCAAGGATTATCCATCAATTTTATAATTCCAACATTTCTAAAAACTGTCTGCAAATCACCTTCGACACACTCTAACTTATTTCCCCTCAGATTCAAAATATCCAGACTAGTATTACCCAGAAAATCCAGATCCCATCTATCAATCTCATTATTGGCCAAATCAAAATCAATAACGTCCTCTAACTGACGAAAAGCTTTAGGTGAAATCTTCCTAATTTTATTCCCCTGAAGATGAATAGCAAACGCGTTCGGAATATTCTTTAACGCGTCGTCTGGAATCTCAGTAACCTGATTGAAACAGATTGAAATAAAACGATCTCTTGACTCTCCACCCAGCCAATTATTATCCCATTGGGTTAGATTATTAAAGTCAATCCGCAACGAAACAAGATCCTTCATGTCATCAAAAGCTCCACTCGCAATTTTAGCAATCTTGTTTGCGTCTAGATTCAAATCGTTTAGTTTGGTGTTATTGAAAACCCCTTCTGGAATTTCTTTCAGTTGATTTTCGACAAGACTGAGTTCGTCCAATTCTGGTAAGTTCCTCAAATCACCGGGTCGGAGAAGCTTGACTGAGTTGGAATCCAAATTAAGTGTTGTTAAGTCTTGCAGGTCAAAAACTTCTGGATTGATTTCTTCAAGTTTGTTACCAGGCAGATTCAATATTCTCAATCTAACTGTTGACAAAGCTTTTGGTGCGATGGTGTGAAGACGATTATTAGTCAAGCTTAAGTTGCCGAGAGTAACATTGTCAAAAACACCACTTGGAAATTCTGTGAGTTTGTTGTTGTCAAGTAGTAGGTAACTATCGTTGAAATTCTTGAAGGCTCGTGGTTGTAGGAGGATGATTGAGTTGGATGACAAATCTATATATGTTACATTTAGATCCACAAGAGTATTGGTTTTGATTTCTGTCAATTTATTGCCACTTAGAATGAGCTTTTCTAAGAGTGGTAAGTTTTCAAAAGCTCCGGGTTTAATATCTTCCAAACTCACGTTAAACAGGTCAAGACTGACCAGATTTGGTACTTCGAAAATCGATTTTTCGTACAAGATGGGAAGGCTACCGTGGATGGTCACAGACACTGGTTCCTCGTCAGGGATTATTTTCTTAACATTGTCAAATGAAGCTACCGTTTCTTGTTCTATTGTTTCTAGTTCGGATAAAAATACCACTGAACTGTCACATTAACGAAAGTATTTTTTTCACTGTGACTAACTTTAAAACGAAAAATGCAGACTAGTAGGTTTAGTAGTAAAGAACGCATCTTGATTACTCAACTTGTTTACTTTAAACGTGATATTTATACGTTAATAGGTAGGTAATATTAACGTAAGAGGAATGACCGAAGTGTTGCATTGGTTTTTCCAACAGTTTCATTAAAATTAAGTTCGTCACATGGATGACACACATTAATTTCTTGGATATTTTTATTAAATTACCTTCATGATAACGTTAATTGCATGTGTATTTAACCAAAAACTAGATATAAACAATGTTACAAATTTATAATAGAATAATCAACATGTTTACTAATTATCCACAAAATCTTCAATCTTCTTAACACACTCTTCATTCCAAGGATTATCTAGCAATTTTGGCTCTTTAACATTTCTAAAAATTATCTTCAAATCTCCTTCAACACACTCTAATTTATTTCCAGTGAGATCTAAAGTCCCAATTCTAACATTCCCCAGCAAATGTGGACTCCAATTATCAATCTCATTAAAGGACAAATCTAAATAACCAACGTGCTCTAACTTATCAAATGCTTTAGCTGAAATCTTCCTAATTTTATTCCTCTGAAGACGAATACCTTTGACACGAGGATAATCCTTGAACGCTTGGTCTGGAATCTCAGTTATCAAATTATCATTGACAAAAATTTGATCAACTGATTTTGCCCCACTCAGCCAATTATTATCCCATTGAGTTACACTATTGGAGTTAATGTTCAACAGATGGAGCTCTGGCATGTCGTCAAAAGCAGCACTCGCAATTTTGGCAATCTTGTTTGAGGATAGTTCCAAACGACTGAGTTTCGTATTGTTGAAAACACCTTCTCGAACTTCTTTCAACTCGTTTTCCACAAGATTGAGTTCCTTCAATTGTGGTAAGTTCCTCAAATCACCAGGTCGCAGAAGTTTGATTGAGTTAGCACCCAAATAGAGTGATGTTAACTGTTGCATGTCAAAACTTTCCGGATCGATTTTCTCAAATTTATTATCGTACAAAGTCAATAAGCTCAACGCAATTGTCGACAGTGCTTTTGGTGCGATGGTATGAAGATAATTATGAGCCAAAATTAACGTTCCAAGAGTAACATCTTCAAAAAGACCATTTGGAATTTCAGTGAGTTTGTTATGATTAAGTATCACGATAACAACGTGGAAATTTTTGAAGGCTCCTGGTTGTAGAAAGGTGATTGAGTTCAATGACAAATCTAAATAAACTATATTTAGATCGACAAAAGTTCCAGTTTTAATTTCTGTCAAATTATTTCCGCGTAGACTAACCCCTTTGAAAAGTGGTAAATTTCCAAAGGCACCGGGTTTGATTTCTTCCAAACCTACGTCGTGGAGGTCCAGACTGTGCAAATTTGGTATACCGAAAACTGATTTTTCGTACAAGATGGGAACGCTACCGTGGATAGTCACAGACACTTCTCCTTCATCAGGGATTATTTTCCTAAGAGTGTCGGAAGTTGCTACCTTTTCTTCTATTTTGTTTTTGCCATGGTGGCGCCACTGAACTGTCACATTTTCGAAAGAAATTTTTTCACTCTTACTAACTTTAAGAAGAAAAATACAGACTAGTAGGTTTACTAGTGAATAACGCATGTTGATGACTGAACTTGTTTACGTTAAACATCATTTATAAATGAATAGAAATGTAATGTTGATGTAGCTACTTACACTGAAGTGTTGTATTGGTTTTTCCAACAAGTTTGATTAAATTTAGTCTGATTACATGTGACACATACGTGTAAAAATGCATTTTCATTTAATTAATATTTAAATGAAGGAAAAGTGGCGTGGTAGTTCAGCCAATCACTCATGTGACCTTCTCCACTGTTTAGAAACATGAAGTCCTCGAGATTATTTTTAATCACTTCAAGAACAAGAGGAGGGTGCTCTAAATTTTTTCAAACTACTTCAAAATCAAAACATATGAGGTCCCTGAGATTCTTTCTAACTACTTCAAAAACAAAACAAAAATTGTAACGGAAATTTTTTCAAACCACTTCCAAAACTTCATACAAAGAGTTCCTCGAGATTCTTTCGAACTACTTTAGAATCAGAACCAAAACAAAAAAGTTCCCCCAGATTCTTTCAAATTACTTCAAAAACTAGTTACAAGAGGTCCTAAAACAGACAAGGGATCCAAGATTCTTTCAAACTACTTGAAAAACTAGGCACAAAAGGTTTCCGAGATTCTTTTAAACTACTTCAAAAACCAAACACAAAAATCCCAGTCCTTCGAATCCCAGACATTCTTTCAAATTATGTAATTCAAGAAAGAAGTCAAAAATGTCCTTAGAATTCTTTCAAATTACTTCACAAACAAGACAAGGGATCCCCAAGACTCTTTCAAACTACTTCAGAATTAAACCAAAAAAAAAAATCCCCCAGATTCTTTCAAATTACTTCAAAAACCAGTTACAAGAGGTCCTAAAATAGACAAGGGATCCAAGATTCTTTCAAACTACTTGAAAAACTAGACACAAAAGGTTTCCGAGATTCTTTTAAACTACTTCAAAAAAATAAACAAAACTGGTTCCAAATAATCTTTCCAACTAATTCAAAATCAAAACAAATGGAGTCCTCTTGATTCTTTTAAACGACTTCAAAAACCAAACACAAAAATCCCAGTCCTTCGAATCCCAGACATTCTTTCAAATTATGTAATTCAAAAAAGAAGTCAAAAAAGTCCCTAAAATTCTTTCAAATTGCTTCACAAACGAGACAAGAGATCCCCTAGACTCTTTCAAACTACTTCAGAATTAAACCAAAAAAAATCCCCCAGATTTTTTCAAATTACTTCAAAAACCAGTTACAAGAGGTCCTAAAATAGACAAGTGATCCAGGATTCTTTCAAACTACTTGAAAAACTAGGCACAAAATTTTTCCGAGATTCTTTTAAACTACTTCAAAAAAATAAACAAAAGTGGTTCCAAATAATCTTTCCAACTAATTCAAAATCAAAACAAATGGAGTCCCCTAGATTCTTTTAAACTACTTCTAAAACCAAACACAAAAATCCCAGTCCTTCGAATCCCAGATATTCTTTCAAATTATGTAATTCAAAAAAGAAGTCAAAAAAGTCCCTAAAATTCTTTCAAATTACTTCACAAATAAGAGAAGGGTCCCCAAGACTCTTTCAAACTACTTCAGAATTAAACCAAAAAAGATCCCCCAGATTCTTTCAAATTACTTCAAAAACCAGTTACAAGAGGTCCTAAAACAGACAAGGGATCCAAGATTTTTTCAAACTACTTCAAAACTAGGCACAAAACTTTTCCAAGATTCTTTTAAACTACTTCAAAAAAATAAACAAAACTGGTTCCAAATAATCTTTCCAACTAAGTCAAAATCAAAACAAATGGAGTCCTGTTCATTCTTTTAAACTACTTCAAAAACCAAACACAAAAATCCCAGTCCTTCGAATCCCAGACATCCTTTCAAATAATGTAATTCAAAAAAGAAGTCAAAAAAGTTCCTAAAATTCTTTCAAATTACTTCACAAACGAGACAAGAGATCCCTTAGACCCTTTCAAACTACTTCCGAATTAAACCAAAAAAGATCCTCCAGATTCTTTCAAATTACTTCAAAAACCAGTTACAAAAGGTCCTAAAAAAGACAAGGGATCCAAGATTCTTTCAAACTACTTCAAAATCAGAACAAAACGGTTCTCCGAATACCTTCAAACAATGTAGTTCAAAAAAGAAACAAGAAATTTCCCCAAAATTCTTTCAAACTACTTAAAAAACAAAATACAAGGAGCTCCCGAGATTCTTTCAAACTACGAAGTTCAAAAAAGAAACTAAAGAGTTCCCCAAAATTTTTTCCAACTACTTAAAACAAAAATGGTCTCCCAAATTCTTTCAAACTACTTCAAAAAGTAGGCACAGAAGGTTTCCGAGATTCGTTTAAACTACTTCAAAAAAAATAAAATAAACAAAACTGGTTCAAATAATCTTTCCAACTATTTCAAAGTCAAAACAAGTAGAATCCCCTAGATTCTTTTAAACTACTTCAAAAATCAAACACAAGAATCACAGATATTCGTTCAAATTATGTATTTCAAAAAGAAGCCAAAAGGGTTCCTAAAATTCTTTCAAATTACTTCACAAACAAAACGAGGGATCCCCAAGACTCTTTCAAACTCCTTCAGAATCAAACCACAAAAGTTCCTCCAGATTCTTTCAAATTACTTCAAAAGTCAGTTATAAGAAGTCCTAAAAAAGACAACGGATCCAAGATTCTTTTAAACTAATTCAAAATCAGAACAAAAAGGTTCTCCGAATCCTTTCAAACTATGTAGTTTAAAATGGAAACAAAAGATTTTCCCAAAATTCTTTCAAACTATGTACATACTAAAAAAACAAAACACAAGGAGTTCCCGAGATTCTTTCAAATTACTTCAAAACTAGGCACAAGAAATCCCCGAGATTCCTTCAAACAACGAAGTTCAAAGAAGAAATAAAAGATTTCCCCAAAATACTTAAAAAAAAATAAAGAAAACTGGTTCCAAATAATCTTTCCAACTACTTCAAAATCAAAACAAATGGAGTCCCCTAGATTCTTTTAAACTACTTCAAAAACCAAACACAAGAATCCCAGATATTCTTTGAAATTACGTAGTTCAAAAAAGAAGACAAAAGGCTCCCTAAAATTATTTGAAATAACTTCAAAATTAAGACAAGGGATCTCCAAGATTCTTTCAATCTACTCCACATTCAAACCAACAAGGGTCCCTCTGGTTCTTTCAAATTACTGCAAAAACCAGTTACAAGAGTTCCTAAAAAAACAAGGGATCCAATATTCTTTTAAACTATTTCAAAATCAGGACAAAAAGGTTCTCCGAGTCACTTCAAACTATGTCGTTCAAAAAAGAAACAACAGATTTCCCCAAAATGCTTTCAAACTATTTAAAAAACAAAACATAACGGGTCCTCGAGATTCTTTCCAACTACTTCAAAATAAAAACAAAAATGGTGCCCCAGATTCTTTCAAACTACTTCAAATCTAGGCATAAAAGATTAAGAGATTCTTTTTAACTACTTAAAAATATCTTTCCAACTAGTTCAAAAACAAAACATTTGGGGTCCGCTAGATTATTTCCTCCTCTTGTTATTTAGCATTCCATTCAGATTTTTTGTATTTGTTTATACAGGGTGACTCAAAAAAATTAATGGATGCCTGAATTAATTTTATTAATTTAATTAGGAACTACATATTTTCATATTTGTAAGACTTGGAAAAGAGCAAATGTTTATAGGTTTCGTTTTGACATTTTTTCACATTCATACTATTGTATATTTTTATCAACAAGTCAAAACACGTGAGAAAAACAACAATTCTTCTAGTTGCAAATGTATTAAACCAATGTTATTTATTTACAAGATTAGAATCCAGTTTAATCATCATCTTCCGGTACATACTGTTTACTGTTGTTTACAAATTCCTCAATCTTCTTAACACAATCTTCATTCCAAGGATTTTCTCGCAAAATTGTATACTCAACATTTCTGAAAATTGTCTTCAAATCTCCTTCAACACACTGTAACTTATTTCCAGTGAGATCCAACCTGCCAATACTAACATTACCCAACAAATCTGGACTCCAATTATCAATCTCGTTATAAGTCAAATCTAAATGATCCACGTAATCTAAATTATCAAAGCCTTTAACTGAAATGTTCCTGATGTAACTTCCGTGAAGGTCAATTGTCATCATACGAGGGTAATTTTTGAATGCTTCGTCTGGTATCTCCGCTATCTGATTTTCACTGACCGAAATTTGAACCAATGATTTCGCCCCTTTCAGCCAATTATTGTCCCACTGGGTTAGATTATTGGAGTCAATGTGTAATTCAATAAGAGCTGGCATGTCATCAAAAGCTTCACTCGCGATTTTAGCAATTTTGTTTAAATTTAGATTCAAAACAGTGAGTTTGGTATTGTTGAAAACCCCTTCTGGAATTTCTTCCAAATCGTTTACCGCAAGCCAGAGTTTCTTCAATTCTGGCAAATTTCTCAAATCACCAGGTCGTAGAAGCTTGACTAAGTTGCTATTAAGAAAGAGTGCTACTAATTGTTGCATGTCAAAACTTTCCGGATTGATTTCGTCGAATATATTATTGCTCAAAGTCAATCTCTTCAACGCAATTGTAGACAGTGCTTTTGGCGCGATGGTGTGCAGAAGATTGTCAGCCAGAATTAAGGATCGAATCGTGACATTTTCAAAAACACCACTTGGAAATTCAGTGAGTTTGTTGTTAGCAAGTAACAGGAGATTGGCGTTGAAATTTTTGAAAGCTCCCCGGTGTAGAACGATGATCGAGTTGAATGACAAATCCAAATAAGTTATCTTTTGGTCGGAAAAAGTGTTAGTTTTAATCTCAGTTAAATTATTTTTACGTAGACTAATCCATTTTAAATGTGGTAAATTTCCAAAAGCTCCTGGTTTGATTTCTTGCAAACTCACGTCATAGAGGTCCAGACTTTTCAAATTTGGTATATCGAAGACCGATTTTTCGTACAAGATGGGAATGCTTCCAGTGATTTCCACCGACACTCGTTCGTCATCAGGAATTATTTTCTTCAGACTGTCAGATGTTGCTACCGTTTCTCCTTTTTTGTAATTATGACGCCACCGAACTGTCACATTTTTGAAAGTAAGTTTTTCACTTTTACTGAGATTAAGAAGACAAATACAGAGTAATAGGTTTACTAGCGAAGAACGCATCTTGATTACTGAAGTTGTTCACCTTGAACGGCATTCTTATAAGGAATAGAAAGGTCACGTTGATGTAAGCTGAGTACTGGTTTTTCCAACGCGGTGGATTAAAATTAAGTCGATTACATCTGACCTTCACGATTATTATGACAACAACAAAACTGGAAGGAAATTTTGCTGTAATTTTTTTTTAAACCAAACATTTATTATCCTAATACACACAATAAAACAAAAATTCTATGTATCTATCTATTAAACCAAATCAACCCACAACGGTCTGTAAATCTAAAACGATCGTAGTAACTTTATCCCAGGAACGCATTCTTGTTCTCTAGAAACTCCTCAATTAGCGTTGAAATTCTTGAAGGCTCGTGGAAGATACAGTTGGATGACAAATCTATATACGTTACATCTAGATCCACAAAAGTACCGCTTTTGATTTCTGCCAATTTATTGCCACCTAGAATGAGCTTTTCTAAGAGTGGTAAATTTCCAAAAGCTCCGGGTTTAATTTCTTCCAAACCCACGTTGGACACGTCAAGAATGATCAGATTTGGTATACAGAAAACCGATTTTTCGTACAAAATGGGAACGTTACCAATGATCTTCCCCCACTCTTGGTTTTCATCAGGAACGGTTTTTTTTAAGATTGTCAGATGTCACTACAGACTCGGATACTCTGTTGTCAAGACGCCACTGAACTGTCACATTTTCGAAAGTAATTTTTTCGCTATTACTAGCTCTAAAAAGAAATTACAGATTAGAAGGTTTACTAGTGAAGAGTGCATCTTGGTTACTGAAGTTGTGTACGGTAAACAGCATATTTATAAAGGAATAGAAAGATAATGTTGATTCGTGGTTAAACATATACTTTTTTGTTAAATTAGTATTTAAATCAAACAAAACTATATTGTCGTCAAGTGACTCATCTAACGTCCGCTACTGATTTGAAAACAACTATTGAATATAAAATCCAAACTTTTTACAGAATGTGTGCTCATACAATAGTTATTTACGTGGCAAGCTTAGTAAATTAGCCTTTACGGGCGAGCCGGAATGTTTGCAGGGCGAGCGACGTAGGAGCGAGTCCTGTAATCCGGTGAGCTCCAGTAAAGGCTAGTTGCAAGCGAGCCGCGTACAACGTTTTACTTCCTCTTGCTGAAAATCCTGAAAATGAACAACTTTGGCATCTCTAGAAATTTTACTTGAAATTACAGTCATAGAAATTATAGTCATTTTTCATAGTTTGCTCCGGTAACTATGGAAAATTGAATTGTTTGAAAATAACGGAGGAAGTAAAACATTTTTACATACTTACATTTTTTAGAATTATTGAAAATTTTGTTTTTCTAAATGCATTAATGTATGTATACTTTAATCACTCATAGTTGGCCACTGTCTATGATTCGAACGCATCATGTTACGAAAACACACCCTTCTCAAGTGTCCATGTTACGCTACTGATTGACAGTCCGTTGTCAGATCTAATGACTTACCATGTTGAACTTAAAATAATCCTTGTCCTTCAAGACTTGGTAATAGCAATCTGACGCTCAAGTGTTTATTTATGTTTATACATCGAAAGAATGTCACATAGAAATTAGTCTTCTCAAAACACAAGATTAAAATTACTAATTAAACCGGAATCGAACAATATGTTATTAATATTGTCATTTTTATCCTCTCCGTTGGATCCTGGCTATCACGAAGCCGACAGCAGATGACGCGATAAATCTCGCCAGCTTGACTAGGAACTGCGCACTCTGCTTCTGCCACCTTTTCTGTTATTTAACCTCAATTCCATTTTAAATGTTCGACTTCTATGACTCGGATATTAACGACAACTGAACAAGTGTTAAAGTTTCGAAAAGAGCAAGAAACAACCTTACAACTTTGTGAAATTTTAAACAACAAATAATTCTTATGTGACATTAAAATTGGACATCAGATAATTTAGCCGATGGAAACATTCATCAACAAAATATTTAAAAAACAAGAACTAGCAAAGATTTATAAAAACAAAAGATCTAGTGTGAAATAAACTTGTGCAAATAAAAATATTACGTGAGGGTGTTAACCTGACAAAGTGAATTTCATGAAATCTCCTAATAAATGTTTAATGTCTGTTAAATTGTGTTAGAACCAGTTAACGATTAAAATCCTAACCTGAGCTATGAATTAACAAACAAGCGTGTGTAGCGTGGTCGAAAATGAGCACTTTTTCCGATTAAAAAGCGGCTAGAATTAGCTGCGCGTATTGGGGAAAACTGTGACCTAATCGTTACGATTAATTTTCGTCAAACAAAGCCTTCCTCCTTTTTATTAACTACCAAGCCAACTAATTTAACCTAGCTCACTTACAGCCTCTTTTCACCATGCGCTCGCCCACACAACACCGAACCAACCAATCCTCTAACCAAAATCCCCTAGCGAACTACCAACTACCAGGAAAAGAAGTAAACGTGCACAATATGCATTTGCCAAAATACTAGGTACTTGCTAAGATAAGAACGATTTTGGCAAATGACATACCTTACAAGAAAATAAAGGGCGGGTGGGCGGGGCTAGTACTTGCTAAGATAAGACTAATTTTGGCAAATGACATAATTCTCTGAGAAAATAGGGGGTGGGTGGGTGGGGCTACTACTTGCTACGATGAGACTAATTTTGGCAAATGACATATCCTCTAAGAAAATAGGAGGCAAATCTAAAAAATATTAATGCAATGATAAATCACAACTAAAAACGCATCATATTGTCCAGATAATGGGCAGAATTTTTTCGGCAAAATTTTGAGATGACGTCATCAATTTCTTGGGTGGAATAAACAGATATATTTTGGTTACATGTTTAAAATAATTTTAAAACATCTGCAAGATTTTAACGTATTCATTTTTGCAATTCTCTCTCTAGTTTACTTACCTTTTTACGGCACACTTTGCAAAGAATAGATTGAGAATTTTCATCTAACACTAGTTCGGGATTTTTTTTATCAATTTCTGGTTGCCTATCCATGTAACCTTTTAAAATTGAAAACATTTCACCTTTATAACTCTGTGTGTTCTGATAGACACATAAAACAAGATGGGAAAAACCGCAGGGTACTTTAAACGCAAAACAACAATTGCAGGTGTATTTTTAACGCAAAACTGCATAATTATTAATCCACTGTTACGTATTTATAATAGATGCTCTATAAAATTAGAATCCTTCGTTGTTGTTTATAAACTCCTCAACCTTCTTAACACACTCTTCATTCCAAGGATTACCTCGCAAAATTGGATATTCAACATTTTTGAAAATTGTCTTCAAATCTCCTTCAACACACTCTAACTTATTGCCAGTGAGATCCAAAGTCCCAACAGTAACATCACCCAACAAATCTGGATTCCAGTTATCAATCTGGTTATAGGTCAAATCTAAATAATCAACGTGTTCTAACTTATCAAATGCTTTAGCTGAAATCCTCCCAATGTAATTTCTGTGAAGATCAATTCTGCCCACATGAGGATAATTCTTGAACGCTTCGTCTGGAATCTCAGTAATCTGATTAAAACTGACTGAAATAGAAACAGGTGGTGATACCCCACTCAGCCAATTATTATCCCATCGGGTCAGATTATTGAAGTCAATGTGTAATACATCAAGATTTGACATGTCATCGAGAGCTTTACTCCCAATTTTAGCAATCCTGTTTGCAGATAGATCCAAGTAAGTGAGTTTGGTGGCATTGAAAACACCTTCTGGGATTTCTTCCAACTTATTGTCGACAAGCCTCAATACGTTCAACTCTGGTAAGTTTTTCAAATCGCCGGGTCGCAGAAGCTTGATCGAGTTGAAATCCAAATCGAGCGACTTTAACTCTTGTCCGTCAAAGACTTCTGGATCGATTTCGTCAAATTTGTTATCATACAAAGACAATATTTTCAATGAAAGTGTTGACAAAGCTTTTGGTGCGATAGTGTGGAGAAAATTTCCACACAAACTTAAAATTTCAAGGGTGACATTGTCGAAGACACCACTTGGAAATTTGGTGAGTTTGTTGTTGTTAAGTTTCAAGTGATCGGCGTTGAAATTCTTGAAAGCTCCTGGTTCGAGGAGGATTATTGAGTTGTATGACAAATCCACATAGGATATATTTAGATTGACAAAAGTATCCGTTTTGATTTGTGTCAAATTATTCCAACTCAGAAGGAGAGTTTCCAAAAGTGGTAAATTACCAAAAGCTCCAGGTTTGATTTCTTCCAAGCCCACGCCGAATAATTCTAGTCTGTTCAGATTTGGTATATCCAGAACTGAATTTCCGTACAAAATGGGAATGTTACCAGTGATTTCCACCGACACTTGCTCTTCGTCAGGAATGATTTTCTTAAGATTCTCAGACGTAGCTACCGTTTTTTCCACTTTGTAACCAAGACGCCACAGAACTGTTACATTTTCGAAAGTAATTTTTTCACTGTTACTAAGTTTTTGAAGAAAAATACAGAGAAGTAGGTTTAGTAGTGAGGAACGCATTTTGATTACTGAAGTTGTTTTCGTTAAACGTCTTATTTATAACGTAATGGAAAGGTATTGTTGCTGTAAGTATAATTGATGGAAGTTTAATTTTGGTTTTTCCAACTCATTTGATTAAAATTATCTTGGTCACGACTATAATAAACACCTTTAGAAGGATTTCTTGAATTATTATTATTCTGTAAATATTTAAATCAAGGAAACACAATATATTTGTCAAGTGATCACTGAAATGAATCAGCTAGAGAAAGGAAAGATCAAATTGAAAGAACAATCGACGACAAATAGAACAAAAAATAAGTTTTTTCGTTTTTTCAGTTTTTCGATTCTTCGATTTTATGATTTTTCAGTTGTTCACCGATTTTTGGATTTTTTAACATTATTCACTTTTTTGCTTTTGCGATTTCTCACTTTTTCGATTTTTATTTTGCATTTTTTTAAAGTTTGATTTGCAATTTTTCGAGTTTTCAATTTTAAATTTCCGACTTACCAACATTTGATTTTTTGAGTATTTAAATTTACAATTTTTCGATTTTACAGTTGGCTCTATTTATCAATTTCTAGATTTTTCGATTTAACAACTTTTGATTTCAGGTCTTTTAGTTTTCAATTTTTTACAATTTTTGAAATATTTTGTTTTTCAATTTTTTTTATTTTTCAGTCTCCCATATTTTTGATTTGCAAAATTTTGATATTTCAATTTTCAATCTTTGGACACTTTAATTTTTCATCGATTTTTCTATTTCTCATGTCTTGATGTTTTTCTATTTGTAGTTTTTCTAGTTTTCAATTTTTAGATTTTTCAATTTTTAATTTATCTCTTAAATTTTTCAAGTTCCTAATTTTCATTTTCCCAGATTCTAATTTTTAAATTGTGGACAAAAAGAACAAATTTATTACAACTGAGATTTTCACGATTTTACAGTTTTTGGATTTTTCAAAAAAATCGTGAAACGGAAAAATAGAAATAACGAAAACCTGAAAATCCAAAAATTGAAACAACAAAGATTCGAAAAAATGAAAAATTTGAAAATCTAAAATTTAAAACCCGAAAAACGAAAAATCGACTTTTCAATTTCTCGCTTTTTCGATTTTTCGACTTTTCGGCTTTTCAATTATTAAATTTTTCGAATTTTCAGTTCTTCAGTTTTTCGATTTCCCAATTTTTCGTTATTTAGTTTTGGAATTTTTCTATTTATCGGATTTTTATTTTTTGTAATCCCCAATTTTCCAATTTTTCAAATTTTCCATTTTTTAAATTTAGAATTTTTTTATTTCTCGATTTTTCGGTTTTCTGATTTTCCATTTTTTAGAATTCTCAATTTTTTGATGTTCAGTTTTTTTCGATTTTTCTATTTGTCGCATTCTCTCTTGATATTTTGGCAAACGACATAATCCTCTGAGAAAACAGGGGGTGGGTGGGCGGGGCTAGTACTGGCTCAGAAAAGACTGACTTTGGAAAATGACCTACTTTCTAAGAAAATAGAGGGCTCAATTATTATATTTCAGTCCAGAAATTTCGGAGATTAGGGGTTTAATAAAAATGAATACAGACATCAGGCAGACAGATTGAAAGGAGAGACTGCTTTTTCGTCCTGTAGGAGCCATGAAACGCCGAGAAAATATAAAAGTGGAAATTCCTTAACTTACGCTCGGGAAGCAATAAATGCGACTTACTTTTTACACCACACTCTGCAAAAAACGTATTGAGAACTTTCATCTAACACTAGTTCGGGATACTTTTTTATCAATTTCTGGTTGCCTATCGATGTAAAACTGCATATTTATAACAATGGATGCTCTATAAAATTAGAATCCTCCGGTATTGTCTTGTCGGTTGTTTATAAACTTCTCAACCTTCTTAACACACTCTTCATTCCAAGGATTATTTCACAAAATTGGATATTCAACATTTTTGAAAATTGTCTTCAAATCTCCTTCAACACACTCTAACTTATTGCCAGTGAGATCCAAAGTCCCAACACTAACATTACCCAAGAAATCAGGACACCAATTATCAATCTCGTTATAAGTCAAATCTAAATAATCCACATATTCTAAATTATCAAAGGCTTTAACTGAAATGTTCCTGATGTGACTCCCATGAAGGCCAATTTTCATCATACGAGGGTAATTTTTGAATGCTTCGTCTGGTATCTCCGCTATCTTATTATCACTGACCGAAATTTGAACCAATGATTTCGCCCCTCTCAGCCAATTATTGTCCCATTCGGTTATATAATTGGAGTCAATATACAACCGAATTGCAAGCGCTGGCATGTCATCAAAAGCTTCACTAGCGATTTTAGCAATTTTGTTTAAATTTAGATTCAAAGCAGTGAGTTTGGTATTGATGAAAACCCCTTCTGGAATTTCTTCCAAATCGTTTCCCGCAAGCCAGAGTTCCTTCAATTCTGACAAATTTGTCAAATCACCAGGTCGCAGAAGCTTGACTAAGTTGCCACTAAAATAGAGTGCTATTAATTGTTACATGTCAAAACTTTCCGGATTGATTTCGTCGAATATATTATTGCTCAAAGCCAATTTATTCAACGCAATTGTAGACAGTGTTTTTGGTGCGATGGTGTGCAGAAGATTTTTAGCCAGAATTAAGGTTCGAATTGTGACATTTTCAAAAACACCACTTGGAAATTCAGTGAGTTTGTTGTTAGCAAGAATCAGGAGATTGGCGTTGAAATTTTTGAAAGCTCCGGGGTATAGAACGATGATTGAGTTGAATGACAGATCCAAATAAATTATCTTTTGGTCGGCAAAAGTGTTAGTTTTAATCTCAGTTAAATTGTTTGTAGGTAGACTAAGCCATTTTAAATGTGGTAAATTTCCAAAAGCTCCTGGTTTGATTTCTTGCAAACCCACGTCATAGAGGTCGAGACTGTCCAAATTTGGTATATCGAAAACCGAGTTTTCGTACAAGATGGGAATGCCTCCAGTGATCTCCACCGACACTCGTTCGTCATCAGGAATTATTTTCTTCAGACTGTCAGATGTTGCTACCGTTTCTCCTTTTTTGTAATTATGACGCCACCGAACTGTCACATTTTTGAAAGTAAGTTTTTCACTTTTACTGAGATTAAGAAGAGAAATACAGGTTTACTAGTGAAGAACGCATCTTCATTACTGAAGTTGGTCACCTTAAACGGCATTTTTATAAGGAATAGAAAGGTAATTTTGATGTAAGTTGAGTACTGGTTTTTCCAACGCGGTGGATTAAAATTAAGTCGATCAAATCTGACTTTCACGACTATTTTGAAAACAACAAAACTGGAAGGAATTTTTGCTGCAATTTTTTTTAAACCAAACATTTATTATCTTAATACACACAATAAAACAAAAATTCTATGTATCTATCTATTAAACCAAATCAACCCACAACGGTCTATAAATCTAAAACGATCGTAGTAACTCTACCACGGTAACGTATTCTTGTACTCTAGAAACTCCTCGATCTTCTTAGCACACTCTTCATTCCAAGGATTATCCTCAAATTTAATAAGACGAACATTTCTAAAAACTGTGTTCAAATCACCTTCGACACACTCTAACTTATTTCCACTCAGATTCAAAATAGCCAGATTAGTACTACCCAAAAAATCCGGATCCCATCTATCAATCTCATTATTGGCCAAATCAAAATCATAAACGCTCTCTAACTGATGAAAAGCATTAGGTGAAATCTTCCTAATTTTATTCCCCTGAAGATGAATAGCATACGAGTTCGGAATATTCTTGAACGCGTCGTCTGGAATCTCAGTAATCTGATTAAAACGGATTGAAATAAAACGATAACTTGACTCTCCAGCCCGCCAATTATTATCCCATTGGGTTAGATTATTAAAGTCAATCCGCAACGAAACAAGATCCTTCATGTCATCAAAAGCTCTACTCGCAATTTTAGCAATCTTGTTTGCGTCTAGATTCAAATCGCTGAGTTTGGTGTTATTGAAAACCCCTTCTGGAATTTCTTTCAGTTGATTTTCGACAAGACTGAGTTCGTCCAGTTCTGGTAAGTTTGTCAAATCACCGGGTCGGAGAAGCTTGACTGAGTTGGAATCCAAATTGAGTGTTGTTAACTCTTGTAGGTCAAAAACTTCTGGATTGATTTCTTCAAGTTTGTTACCAGGCAGATTCAATATTCTCAATCTAACTGTTGACAAAGCTTTTGGTGCGATGGTATGGAGACGATTATTACTCAAGCTTAAGTTTCCGATGGTAACATTGTCAAAAACACCACTTGGAAATTCTGTGAGTTTGTTGTTGTCCAGTAATAGGTAATTAGCGTTGAAATTCTTGAAGGCTCGTGGTTGTAGGAGGATGATTGAGTTGGATGACAAATCTATATACGTTACACTTAGATCCACAAAAGTATCGGTTTTGATCTCTGTCAATTTATTGCCACTTAGAATGAGCTTTTCTAAGAGTGGTAAGTTTCCAAAAGCTCCGGGTTTAATTTCTTCCAAACCCACGTTGGACACGTCAAGAATGATCAGATTTGGTTTATCGAAAACCGATTTTTCGTACAAGATGGGAACGTTACCAATGATCTTCCCCCACTCTTGGTTTTCATCAGGAACGATTTTTTTAAGATTGTCAGATGTACCTACAGACTCGGATACTCTGTTGTCAAGACGCCACTGAACTGTCACATTTTCGAAAGTAATTTTTTCGCTATTACTAGCTCTAAAAAGAAAAGTACAGATTAGAAGGTTTACTAGTGAAGAATGCATCTTGGTTACTGAAGTTGTTTACGGTAAACGGCATATTTATAAAGGATAGAATAATGTTGAGTTGCTATGATTTATTAAAATGTTCCATTGGTTTTTCCAAGACGAAATTAAGTTAAAAAAGAATTTCTTGGATTCGTGGTTAAATATATAATTTTTTATGAAATTAGTATTTAAATCAAGGAAAACTATATTGTAGTCAAGTGACTCATCGAACCTTCGCTACTGATTTGAAAACAACTATTGAATATAAAATTCAAACTTTTTACATAATGTGTGCTCATACAAAACATTATTTAGAATTCTTGAAAATTTTGGTTTTTTAAATGCAGTAATATATGTATACTTTGATAACCCATAGTCGGCCACTGTCTATGATTCGAACGCATTATGTTACGAAAACACACCCTTCTCAAGTGTGCATGTTATACTACTGATTGACAGTCAGATTCTGATGACTCACCATGTTGAATTTAAAATAATCCTTGTCCTTCAACACTGGTAATAGCAATCTGACGCTCAAGTGTTTATTTATGTTTATACATCGAAAGATGTCACGTAGAAATTAGTCTTCTCAAAACACAAGATTAAAATTATTAATTAAACCAGAATCGAACAATATGTTCTTAATATTGTCATTCTTATCTTCTCCGTTGGGTCCCGGCTATCACGAAGCCGATAGCGTTACGTCATCTCGACCGCCCCTGAATCTATTCTAACCTGCATTGTTTGTGCAGGTGACGCGATAAATCCCGCCATTTGACTAGGAACCGCGCACTCCGCTTCTGCCACGTTTTCTGTGTTATTTAACCACAATTCCATGTTAAATGTTCGATTTCAATGACTGATATTAACGACAACTGAACAAGAATTAAAGTCTCAAAAAGAGCCAGAAATAACATTCAAATCGCCATATAATCTTGTGAAATTTTAAACAACAAATAATTCTTATGTGAGATTAACATTGGACATCAGATAATTTATACAATATAAGAAAAAATCTGGTGTGAAATAAACTTGTGCAAATAAAAATATTACGTGAGGTTAAAACTGTGGAGCATGAAAATTTACGTTCAATTAAAATTAAACAACAAAGAAAATTACTGAGGTTAAAATTGTGAGATAGAGAAATATTGTCTGAGGTGAAAAATTGCAAAGCTAGCAAATTTACATGAGATTAATATTTGCCCCACTTTATCAACGATTCCAAGTGATTGGTTACTTAAAATAATTAACTTTGAGAGTTTATCGTGAACTGGTTACCCCACCAAAACACATAAATCTCCTAGTAAATGTACGTCTAAGCAAATCTAATGTCTGTTAAATTGTGTTAGAACCAGTTAACGATTAAAATCCTAACCTGATCGGTGAATTAACAAACAATAAAACAAATTTACAGCATGTGTAGCGCAAGAATAAGCTGCGCGTATTGGGGGAAATTGTGACGTCATCGTTACGATTAATTTTCGTTAAACAAAGGCTTCCTCCCTTTTATTAACTACCAAGCCAACTAATTTAACCTAGCTAACTTACAGCGTCTTTTCACCATGCACCCACACAACACAAACCAACCAATCCTCGAACTAAAATCCCCTAGCGAGCTACCAACTACCAGGAAAAGAACTAAACGTGCACAAGGAATATGTTAATTAATTTCAGGGCGAAAATTTGATTCAAATTCGGTCACCACAGTGTTTATGTTTATATATCGGAAGAATGTCACGTAGAAATTACTTTGAATTGAATAAGTTCGTCCCCTCAAAGCAGAGGATCAAAACTATTAACTAGTAAGAAGTAAGCTATAATCGACAAAATGTTCTTATTACATAAAGTATTTTGTATTTTCGCATTTTCGCGAAAATTGGGTGACCGGTTTTTAATTTGATCAATCAAAAATTGGTCGACAGTAACTGTTGTGGCAACAGAACTTCCCTCGCTGCTGCAGTGGAATGAAACATAAAAAATACACAGCCAATCAGATTTAGGAATTTAACTCGTTACTATGGAAATTTGCAATTTAACACCTTTTAAATTTAACAAGTTTTTACAAGATTAATAGCGGCAGAATCAGTCTTTCTCATAGCAAGTACTAGCCCCGCCCACCCGCCCCCTATTTTTTCAGAGGATATGACGTCTGCCAAAATAAGTCTTATCTTACAAGTACTAGCCCCGCCCACCCGCCCTCTGTTTTCTCAGAGAGTATGTTATTTGCCAAAATAAGTCTTATCATGGCAAGTACTAGCCCCGTTCACCCGCCCTTGGTTTTTTTAAAAGATGTGCCATTTGCCAAAATACTAGGTACTTGCTAAGATAAGAACGATTTTGGCAAATGACATAGCTCCCAAGAAAATAGAGGGCGGGTGGGCGGTGCTAGTACTTGCTAAGATAAGACTAATTTTGGCAAATGACATATCCTCTAAGAAAATAGGAGGCAAATCTAAAAAATATAAATGCAATGATAAATCACAAGTAAAAACGCATCATATTGTGCAGATAATGGGCAGAATTGTTTCGGCAAAATTTTGAGATGACGTCATCAATTTCTTGGGTGGAATAAACAGATATATTTTGGTTACATGCTTAAAATAATTTTAAAACATCTGCAAGATTTTAACGTATTCATTTTTGCAATTCTCTCTCTACCTTACTTACCTTTTTACGGCACACTCTGCAAAGAATAAATTGAGAATTTTCATCTAACACTAGTTTGGGATTTTTTTAACAATTTCTGGTTGCCTATCCATGTAACCTTTTCAAATTGAACACATTTCACCTTTATAACTCTGTGTGTTCTGATAAGACACATAAAACAAGATGGGAAAAACCGCATGGTAGTTTAAAAGCAAAACAACAATTGCAGGTGTATTTTTAACCCAAAACTGCATATTTATTAATCCATTGTTACATATTTATAATAATAGATGCTCTATAAAATTAGAATCCTCCGGTACTGTCTTGTTGGTTGTGTATAAACTCCTCAACCTTCTTAACACACTCTTCACTCCAAGGATTTTCTCGCAAAATTGTATATTCAACATTTCTGAAAATTGTCTTCAAATCTCCTTCAACACACTCTAACTTATTGCCAGTGAGATCCAAAGTCCCAACACTAACATCACCCAACAAATCTGGATTCCAGTTATCAATCTGGTTATAGGTCAAATCTAAATAATCAACGTGTTCTAACTTATCAAATGCTTTAGCTGAAATCCTCCCAATGTAATTTCTATGAAGATCAATTCTGCCCACATGAGGATAATTCTTGAACGCTTCGTCTGGAATCTCAGTAATCTGATTAAAACTGACTGAAATAGAAACAGGTGGTGATACCCCACTCAGCCAATTATTATCCCATAGGGTCAGATTATTGAAGTCAATGTGCAATATTTGAAGCTTTGACATGTCATCGAGAGCTTTACTCCCAATTTTAGCAATCTTGTTTGCAGATAGATCCAAGTAAGTGAGTTTGGTGGCATTGAAAACACCGTCTGGGATTTGTTCCAACTTATTGTCGACAAGCCTCAATACGTTCAACTCTGGTAAGTTTTTCAAATCGCCGGGTCGCAGAAGCTTGATCGAGTTGAAATCCAAATCGAGCGACTTTAACTCTTGTACGTCAAAGACTTCTGGATCGATTTCGTCAAATTTGTTATCATACAAAGACAATATTTTCAATGAAAGTGTTGACAAAGCTTTTGGTGCGATAGTGTGGAGAAAATTTCCACACAAACTTAAAATTTCAAGGGTGACATTGTCGAAGACAGCACTTGGAAATTTGGTGAGTTTGTTGTTGTTAAGTTTCAAGTGATCGGCGTTGAAATTCTTGAAAGCTCCTGGTTCGAGGAGGATTATTGAGTTGTATGACAAATCCACATAGGATATATTTAGATTGACAAAAGTATCAGTTTTGATTTGTGTCAAATTATTCCAACTCAGAAGGAGAGTTTCCAAAAGTGGTAAATTACCAAAAGCTCCAGGTTTGATTTCTTCCAAGCCCACGCCGAATAATTCTAGTCTGTTCAGATTTGGTATATCCAGAACTGAATTTTCGTACAAAATGGGAATGTTACCAGTGATTTCCACCGACACTTGCTCTTCGTCAGGAATGATTTTCTTAAGATTCTCAGACGTAGCTACCGTTTTTTCCACTTTGTAACCAAGACGCTACAGAACTGTTACATTTTCGAAAGTAATTTTTTCACTGTTACTAAGTTTTTGAAGAAAAATACAGAGAAGTAGGTTTAGTAGTGAGGAACGCATTTTGATTACTGAAGTTGTTTTCGTTAAACGTCTTATTTATAACGTAATGGAAAGGTATTGTTGCTGTAAGTATAATTGATGGAAGTTTTATTTTGGTTTTTCCAACTCATTTGATTAAAATTATCTTGGTCACGACTATGATAAACACCTTTAGAAGTATTTCTTGAATTATTATTACTGTGTAAATATTTAAATTAAGGAAGCACAATATACTTGTTAAGTGATCACCGAAATAAATCAACTAAAGAAAGAAAAGATGAAACTGAAAGAACAATTAACGATAAAAAAACTTAGAAGGATTATGAAACAAAAGAAAAAATAAGTCATGAAATGAAAGCACTGAAGGTTCGATATTTCAATTTGTCGTTTTTTCAGTTTTTTGCAATTTTTTAAAGTTTGATTTGTAATTTTTTGAGTTTTGAATTTTAAATTTCCGATTTACCAACATTTGATTTTTTGAGTTTTTAAATTTACAATTTTTCGATTCTACAGTTCGCTCTACTTATCAATTTATAGATTTTTCGATTTTCAAATTTTCAGTTTGGATATTTTTGGTTTTTTCAATTTTTCGATTAAACAATTTTTCGATTTCAGGTCTTCTAGTTTTCTATTTTTTACAATTTTTGAAATTTTTTGTTTTTCAATTTTTTTTATTTTTCGGTCTCCCACAATTTTGATTTGCAATTTTTCAATATTTCAATTTTGCACTTCATCAATTTGTCAATTTCTAGATACTTTAATTTTTAATTGATTTTTCAATTTTTCATGTCTTCATTTATTTTATTTGTAGTTTTTCTAGTTTTCATTTTTAATTTGGCTCTTAAATTTTTCAAGTTCTCAATTTTTTACTGTTTCATTTTCCCAGATGCTAATTTTTAAATTATAAACAAAAAGAACAACTTTATTACAACTGAAATGTTGCTGATTTTACACTTTTTGGATTTTTCAATTTCTGTAAGATTTAAATTTTCCTTAAATAATTAATTTCTAAAGGCTTTTCTCGAATTTCCGATTTTTGTTAGATATTATAATTTTTCGATTTGCAATTTATATGAATTTGTTTTGAGTGTTTAAAATTTTCGAATTAGGATTATTCAATTTTAGGTATTTCAATTTTACAGTTTTTCGCTTTTCGATGCTTCAGTTTTTCGCTCCGTAATTTTTCGTTTCCTGGATTTTTCGATTTTTAATTTTTCTTTATTTGAATTAAACGATTATTTTAGATTTCCATGTTTTCAAACTGAAATTTTGGAAAATTATAAAGCAGGAATTTTTTTCATGTTGCTCTTGTGTTTTCGATGTGTTCCTTCGAAAAATGGGAACATCCAAGATAAAAAATCGAAAATCAAACAACTGATAAGGCGAAAAATAAAACGTCGAAAAATTGAAAAATCTAAAAGTAATAAATTTAGAGTTAATGTTTTAGTGACAAATTTTTGTGTTTATTTTCGATACATTGTGTGATATTATCACTGAGAAAAAAATGAAAAATTATAATAATCGAAAATTTGAAAAATCGAGAAATCTAAAAATCGAAAAAACAAAGATGTCAAGAACTAGAAACATAAAAAAATTGTAAAACCGAAAAATTGACAATCGAAAAAAGTGTAATTTAAAAAATCGAAAAATTGAAAAATCGAAAAACTGAAAATTCGAAAAAATGAAAAATTTGAAAATCTAAAATTTAAAAACCGAAAAACGAAAAATCGACTTTTCAATTTCTCTATTACTCGATGTTTCAGTTTTTCAATTTTTGGATGTTTCGATTCTTTGATATCTCGTTTTTTGGATTTTTCGACTTTTCGTCTTTTCAATTATTGGATTTTTCGAATTTTCAGTTTTGGAATTTTTCTATTTATCCATTTTTTAGTTTTTTGAATCCTTAATTTTCCAATTTTTCAAATTTTCCATTTTTTAAATTTAGAATTTTTTGATTTCTCGATTTTTCGATTTTCTGGTTTTGCAATTTTTTGAATTGTCAAGTTTTTGATGTTTTAGTTTTGCGATTTTTCAGTTTTTAGACTCTTCAATTTTTCTCGATTTCCAATTTTTCGATATTTCGACTTTTTAGTTTTTCGAGTTCGCAATTTTTTACCTTTTAGAAGGAATTTCTGCTTTTTCGATTTTTTTGATATTTCAATTGCTCGATTTTTCAATTTTTCAAGTCTTCAATTTTTCTATATTTCAATTTTTCAATTTTCTAAATTTCAGATTTCTGGATTTCTCGATTTCTCGATTTTTCGATTTTTCAGTTCTTCAATATTTCTGTCTCAATTTTTCTAATCTTTATATGTTAGATTTTTCAGTTTTTTCGATGTTTCGATTCTCCATCTTTCGATTTTTAGACTTCTCAGTTTTTGATTTTTCGCTTTTTCAATTTTTCGATTTTTAAAATTTTCTGATTTGCAGTTTTTCCAGTTTTCAATTATTCGCTTTTGAATAATCAAGTTCTCGTTTTTGAATTTTTAAATTTTGGACAAAGAAAAACCAAGTTTATTCGAACTGAAATTTTGGAAAATTATAAAGCAGAATTTTTTTTCATGTTGCTCTTGTGTTTTCGATGTGTTCTTTCGAAAAATGGAAACATCCAAAATAAAAAATCGAATATCAAACAACTGTAAAAACGAAAGATAAAACATCGAAAAATTGAAAAATCTAAAAGTAATAAATTTAGAAAGAGTTAATCTAAAAGGTGAAGAATCTAAAGTTACAAAATCTAAAAATTCAAGAATTTTCAAAATCGAAAAACAAAGATGTCAAGAAATAGGAACATAAAAAAATTGTAAAACTGAAAAATAGAAATAACGAAAACCTGAAAATCCAAAAATCGAAACAACAAAAACTCGAAAAAATGAAAAATTTGAAAATCTAAAATTTAAAACCCGAAAACGAAAAATCGACTTTTCAATTTCTCACTTTTTCAATTTTTGGATGTTTAGATTTTTTTGATTTCTCGCTTTTTCGATTTTTCAACTTTTCGGCTTTTCAATTATTAGGTTTTTCGAATTTTCAGTTTCTCAGTTTTTCGATTTCCCAATTTTTCGTTATTTAGTTTTAGAATTTTTCTATTTATTCGTTTTTTAGTTTTTGTAATCCCCAATTTTCCAATTTTCAAATTTTCCATTTTTTAAATTTAGAATTTTTTGATTTTTCGATTTTTCGGTTTTCTGATTTTCCATTTTTTAGAATTCTCAATTTTTTTCGATTTTTCTATTTGTCGCTTTCTCTCTTGAAATTCCTTAACTTACGCTCGGGAAGTAATAAATGCGACTTAGTTTTTACAGCACACTCTATAAAAAATATATTGAGAATTTTCATCTAACACTAGCTCGGGATACTTTTTTATCAATTTCTGGTTGCCTATCGATGTAAACTTTTAAAATTGAACTCATTTCATCTTTATAACTCTGTGTGTTCTGATCGACACATAAAACAAGATGGGAAAAACCGCACGGTACTTTAAAAGCAAAACAACAATTGCAGGTGTATTTTTAACCCAAAACCGCATATTTATTAATCCATTGTTACATATTTATAATAATAGATGCTCTATAAAATTAGAATCCTCCGTTGTTGTTTATAAACTCCTCAACCTTCTTAACACACTCTTCATTCCAAGGATTTTCTCGCAAAATTGTATATTCAACATTTTTGAAAATTGTCTTCAAATCTCCTTCAACACACTCTAACTTATTGCCAGTGAGATCCAAAGTCCCAACACTAACATCACCCAACAAATCTGGACTCCAGTTATTAATCTGGTTATAGGTCAGATCTAAATAATCAACGTGTTCTAATTTATCAAATGCTTTAGCTGAAATCGTCTCAATGTAATTTCTGTGAAGTTCAATTTTGGTCACACGAGGATAATTCTTGAAAGCTTCGTCTGGAATCTCAGTAATATGATTAAAACTGACTGAAATAGAAACAGATGGTGATGCCCCACTCAACCAATTATTATCCCATCTGGTCAGATTATTGAAGTCAATGTGCAATACTTCAAGCTTTGACATGTCATCGAAAGATTTACTCCCAATTTTAGCAATCTCGTTTGAAGAAAGATCCAAGTAAGTGAGTTTGGTGGCGTTGAAAACACCTTCTGGGATTTCTTCCAACTTATTGCCGCCAAGCCTCAATTCGTTTAACTGTGGTAAGTTTTTCAAATCGCCGGGTCGCAAAAGCTTGATTGAGTTAAAATCCAAATCGAGCGACTTTAACTCTTGTACGTCGAGGACTTCTGGATCGATTTCTTCAAATTTGTTATCACGCAAAGACAATTTTTTCAATGAAAGTGTTGACAAAGCTTTTGGTGCGATAGTGTGGAGAAAATTACCACACAAACTTAACATTTCAAGTGTGACATTTTCGAAGACACCGCTTGGAAATTTGGTGAGTTTGTTGTTGTTAAGTTTCAAGTGATCGGCGTTGAAATTCTTGAAAGCTCCTGGTTGGAGGAGGATGATTGAGTTGTATGACAAGTCCACATAGGATATATCTTGATTGACAAAAGTATCAGTTTTGATTTGTGTCAAATTATTCCAACTCAGAAGGAGAGTTTCCAAAAGTTGTAAATTACCAAAAGCTCCAGGTTTGATTTCTTCCAAGCCCACGCGGAATAATTCTAGTGTATTCAGATTTGGTATATCGAAAACTGGATTTTCGTACAAGATGGGAACGTTACCAGTTATTTTCACCGACACTTGTTCTTTGTCAGGAATGATTTTCTTAAGATTATCAGACGTAGCTACCATTTTTTCCACTTTGTAACCAAGGCGCCACAGAACTGTTACATTTTCGAAAGTAATTTTTTCACTGTTACTAAGTTTTTGAAGAAAAATACAGAGAAGTAGGTTTAGTAGTGAGGAACGCATTTTGATTACTGAAGTTGTTTTCGTTAAACGTCTTATTTATAACGTAATGGAAAGGTATTGTTGCTGTAAGTATAATTGATGGAAGTTTTATTTTGGTTTTTCCAACTCATTTGATTAAAATTATCTTGGTCACGACTATCATAAATACCTTTAGAAGGATTATTTGAATTATTATTATTCTGTAAATATTTAAATCAAGGAAACACAATATATTTGTTAAGTGATCACCGAAATGAATCAACAAGAGAAAGAAAAGATCAAATTGAAAGAACAGTCGACGACAAATAGAACAAAAAATAAGTTTTTCCTTTTTTTCAGTTTTTCGATTCTACGATTTTATGATTTTTCAGTTGTTCACCGATTTTTGGATTTTTTAAAATTATTCAATTTTTTGCTTTTGCGATTTCTCACTTTTTCGATTTTTATTTTGCAATTTTTTGAGTTTCTTATAGTTTTCATAACACCTGTTGTTGAATTTTTAGAAATTCTTTAGTTTTCTGATTTTACAATTTCGACTTAGAATTATTCAATTTTACGTTTTTCAATTTTACAATTTTTCGATCTTGATATTCAATTTGTAGATATTTTAATTTCTCTTTATTTGAATTAAACGATTATTTAAATTTTCATGGCTTCAGTTTTTTGATTTGCAGTTTTTCTAGTTCTCAATGTTTAGCTTTTAAATAATGAAGTTGTTGTTTTTGAATTTTTAAATTTTGGACAAAGAAAAAACAAGTTTATTCAAACTGAAATTTTGGAAAATTACAAAGCAGGATTTTTTTCATGTTGCTCTTGTATTTTCGATGTGTTCTTTCGAAAAATGGAAACATCCAAAATAAAAAATCGAATATCAAACAACTGTAAAAGCGTATCAAACATCGAAAAATTGAAAAATCTAAAAGTAATAAATTTAGAAAGAGTTAATCTAAAAGGTAAAGAATCTAAAGTTGCAAAATCTAAAAATTCAAGAGTTTTCAAAATCGAAAAACAAAGATGTCAAGAAATAGGACCATAAAAAAATCGTAAAACTGAAAAATAGAAATAACGAAAACCTGAAAATCCAAAAATCCAAACAACAAAGATTCGAATAAATGAAAAATTTGAAAATCTAAAATTTAAAACCCGAAAAACGAAAAATCGACTTTTCAATTTCTCAGTTTTTCAATTTTTGGATGTCTAAATTTTTTTGATTTCTCGCTTTTTCAATTTTTCAACTTTTCGGCTTTTCAATTATTAAATTTTTCGAATTTTCAGTTCTTCAGTTTTTCGATTTTCCAATTTTTCGTTATTTGGTTTTGGAATTTTTCTATTTGTTCGTTTTCTAGTTTTTCTAATCCTCAATTTTCCAATTTTTCAACTTTTCCATTTTTTAAATTTAAAATTTTTTGATTTCTCGATTTCTCGGTTTTCTGAGTCTCCAATTTTTAGAATTCTCAATTTTTTGATGTTTGAGTTTTGTGATTTTTTCCTTTTTAGATTCTTCCATTTTTCTCGATTTTCCAATATTTCGGTATTTCGACTTTTCGATTTCTCAATTTATTACCTTTTTCTGCTTTTTCGATTTTTTTGATATCTCAATTTCTCGATTTTTCAATTCTTCAAGTCTTAATTGTTCTATGTTTTAATTTTTCAATTTTTTAAATTTCAGATTTTTGGATTTCTCGATTTTTCGATTTTTCAGTTCTTCAATATTTCTGTCTCAATTTTTCTAATGTTAGATTTTTCAGTTATTTTGATATTTCGATTTCCTCCATCTTTCGATTTTTCGACTTCTCAGATTTTGATTTTTCGCTTTTTCAATTTTTCGATTTTTAAAATTTTCTAATTTGCAGTTTTTCTAGTTTTCAATTTTTAGTTTTTGAATAATCAAGTTCTCGTTTTTGGATTTTTAAATTTTGGACAAAGAAGAGACAAGTTTATTCGAACTGAAATTTTGGAAAATTATAAAGCAGGGTTTTTTTTCATGTTGCTCTTGTGTTTTCGATGTGTTCTTTCGAAAAATGGCAACATCCAAGATAAAAAATCGAAAATCAAACAACTGAAAAGGCGAAAAATAAAACGTCGAAAAATTGAAAAATCTAAAAGTAATACATTTAGAAAGAGTTAATCTAAAAGGTGAAGAATCTAAAGTTGCAAAATCTAAAAATTCAAGAATTTTAAAAATCGAAAAACAAAGATGTCAAGAAATAGGAACATAAAAAAATCGTAAAACTGAAAAATAGAAATAACGAAAACCTGAAAATCCAAAAATCGAAACAAGAAAGATTCGAAAAAATAAAAAATTTGAAAATCTAAAATTTAAAACCCGAAAAACCAAAAATCGACTTTTCAATTTCTCAGTTTTTCAATTTTTGGATGTTTCGATTTTTTATTTCTCGCTTTTTCGATTTTTCAACTTTTCGGCTTTTCAATTATTAGATTTTTCGAGTTTTCAGTTCTTCAGCTTTTCGATTTCCCAATTTTTCGTTATTTAGTTTTGGAATTTTTCTATTTATCCGTTTTTTAGTTTTTGTAATCCCTAACTTTCCAAATTTTCAAATATTCCATTTTTTAAATTTAGAATTTTTTGATTTCTCGATTTTTCGGTTTTCTGAGTCTCCATTTTTTAGAATTCTCAATTTTTTGATGTTTGAGTTTTTTTCGATTTTTCTATTTGTCGCTTTCTCTCTTGAAATTTTGGCAAATGACATAATCCTCTGAGAAAACAGGGGGTGGGTGGGCGGGGCTAGTACTGGCTCAGAAAAGACTGATTTTGGAAAATGACCTACACTCTAAGAAAATAGAGGGCTCAATTATTTTATTTCAGTCCAGAAATTTCGGAGATTAGGGGTTTAATGAAAATGAATACAGACATCAGGCAGACAGACTGAAACGGGAGACTGCTTTTTCGTCCTGTAGGAGTCATGAAACGTCGAGAAAATATAAAAGTGAAAATTCCTTAACTTACGCTCGGGAAGTAATAAATGCGACTTACTTTTTACACCACACTCTGCAAAAAACTTATTGAGAAGTTTCATCTAACACTAGTTCGGGATACTTTTTTATCAATTTCTGGTTGTCTATCGATGTAAACTTTTGAAATTGAACGCATTTCACCTTTATAACTCTGTGTGTTCTGATAGACGCATAAAACAATATGGAAAAGACCGTATGGTAGTTTAAAAGCAAAACAACAATTGCAGGTGTATTTTTAACCCAAAACCGCATATTTATTAATCCATTGTTACATATTTATAATAATAGATGGAAGTTTAATTTTGGTTTTTCCAACTCATTTGATTAAAATTATCTTGGTCACGACTATAATAAACACCTTTAGAAGGATTTCTTGAATTATTATTATTCTGTAAATATTTAAATCAAGGAAACACAATATATTTGTCAAGTGATCACTGAAATGAATCAGCTAGAGAAAGGAAAGATCAAATTGAAAGAACAATCGACGACAAATACAACAAAAAATAAGTTTTTTCGTTTTTTCCGTTTTTCGATTCTTCGATTTTATGATTTTTCAGTTGTTC